AATTTCATCTCTGTCAAAAATCAGTTGACCATAGGTAGATAGGCTGATATCTGGATTCTCAATTCTATTCCATTGTCTGTCATTGTACTAGTACCATGCTGTCCTGACCACCAAGGCAGTGTGGTAGGATTTGAAATCAGAGAGTGTTTACCTTGTTTCTACTTTGCAGGAGTGCTTTGCTTATTCAGAGTCTCTTTCCATTCCAAATGAAATTGGAGATTGCCTTTTCCATCTCATTGAGGAATAACATTGATATTTGTATTGCGATTGCAATGAATGTGTAGATTGCCCTTGGTAGGATTGTAATTTTCATAATATTGAGTCTTCCTATCCATGAGCAAGTTATATTCTCCTATATCTCCAGTTCTCTCTTTGTTTCTTGTAGTAATGTTTGATAATTTTCTTTGAATATATTCTTTATGTTTTTAGTTAGATTTACTCCCAAGTACTTAATCTTTTGATTAGCTATTGTGATAGGTACTGTTTTTCTTAGCTCCAGTTCTATATTATCTTTGTCACTGTAGAGAAATCCAGTTGATTTTTGTATGTTAATCATGTATCCTGCCACTTTGCTGAATTGGTCAACTATGTCTAGTAGTTTTCTTGCTGATTCTTTAGGGTTTTCTCAGTATACTATTATATCATCTACATATAGAGATAATTTTACCTCCTCTCTGCCAATTCTCTTGTCTTATTACTATTGTTAAGATTTCTAACACAATATTGAATAGGAGAGGTGATAGTGGGCATCCTTGCCTAGTTCTTGTTCTCAAAGGGAATGCCTTTAATGTCTCTCTCCACTGAGAACAATGTTTGCTCTCAGGTTTGGGTATATATTTTTTTTACTATATTGAACAATTTCCCTTCCAATCCTATTTTGTTGAGTGTTTTAATCAGGAAATGGTGTTGGATTTTGTCAAAGGCCTTTTCTGGATCAATTGATAAAGATCATGTGGTTCTTGTTTTTTGCTTTGTAAATGTGATGAATTACACTGATTGATTTTCTTATGTTGAAACATTGTCACATACCTGTTATGAATCCCACTTGATCATGGTGAATTATGTTTTTGATGTATTGTTGGATTCTATTGGCTAGGATTTTATTCAGGATTTTTTAAATCTATGTTCATGAGAGATAATGGCTTATAGTTTTCATTTTGATGGTGTCTTTTCCTGACTTTGGTATCAAGGATATGTTTGCTTTATAGAATGAGTCTGGGAGAATTCCATCTTCTTCTATTTTCTGATATCGTTTATGTAGAACTGGTGATTGGGGTAGTGGGAGTAGGTGTGTCAGAGACAGTGATGTTGGCACAGGATAGAGAAGGGTTTAGGGCTCTTGTACCTAGGGTCACTATGAGTCGCAAATGACTTGATGGCACATAACGCCACCAACAACAAAGAATTGGTGACAGTTTTTCTCTGATAAAATGATAAAATTCACTTGTAAAACCATCAGGTCCAGGGCTTTTTTTGGCTGGAAATAGTTTTATTACCTTTTCAATTTCTTCTTTTGTAATGGTTCTGTTCAGGTGTTCAAATTTGGTTTGTGTCAGTTTAGGTAGTTTATGAGTCTCTAAGTATTTGTCCGTTTCCTCTAGGTTTTAATATTTGTTTGAGTATAGTTTTTAATAATATTTTATTGTTAACCTTCTTATTGTAGTTGATTCCATTGTGACATTGCTCATTTCATCTCTTACTTGGATTTTTTGTGTCTTTTCTTTCTTTTGTTTTGTTAGTTTTGCTAGTGGTTTGTCACTATTTTTTACCTCTTCAAAGAACTAACTCCTGGTTGTGTTGAGGGTTTCAATTGCTTTTCCGTTTTTTTTTTTAATTAATTTATTTCTGCCATAATTTTTATAAATTCCATTTTTTTGGAGGGTGTCGGGTTTTCTTGCTGTTCTTTTTCAATCTTTTGGAGATGTGAGGTTAGAGAATCAATGGTCAATTTTTCCTTTCTTTTGATGTGTTTGCTTATTGCTATAAATTGACCTCTGATTACTGCTTTGACTGTTTTGCAGAGGTTCTGGTAAGTTGTGTTTTGATTGTCATTTGTTTTAAGAAACTTTTAAATTTGATTTTTTATTTCTTCTAGTACCCACTCATATTCAAGCAAGGTGTTGTTCAACTTCCAAATGTATGGTTTTTCTTCTTTATTCTGTCGTTATTAATGTCTAATTTTGTAGCATTGTGATCTGAGAAAATGCTTTGTATTATTTCTATGTTTTTAAATTTATTGATTCTTGCCTTGTGACCTAAAATGTGATCTGTTCTGAAGAATGTTCCATGCACATTGTTGAAGAAGGTATACTGTGCTTTTTTTGAGTGCATTAGCCTATAAATACCCATGAGATTGATTACGTTTATTGTGTGGTTTAATTCTTCAGCATCTTTGTTGAGTTTCTTTATGGAGAGTCTATCTTTTCTTGAGAGTGGTATATTGAAGTCTCCAACTACTATAGTAGTGTTGTCTATTTCCTTTTCCAGTTTTGTTAATGTTTGCTTTATGTATTTTGCAGGGCTTTCATTTGGTGCATAGACATTTATTATTGTTATGTCTTCTTGTTCTATTGACCTTATATAGTGACCTTCCTTGTCCTTTGTGATGGTTTTTGCATTGAAATATATTTTATTGGAGATGAATATTGCTACTCCTGCTTTTTTCTGGTTGCCATTTGCTTGATATAGTTCCCCCACCCTTTTATTTTTACTTTTTTAATCTTTGTTTTTCAGGTGTGTCTCTTGTATACAGCATATTGATGAGTTTTGGGGTTTTTTAAATCCGGTCTGCTACTCTTTTTCTCTTCAATGGTGCTTTGAAACTATTTACATTCAATGTGATTATTGAGAAGGCAAAGTTTCATTGCTATCATTTTGCTGATTTCTTTTTAGTGTTGTTGCTAGTTAGTTTGAATCATCCTGCTTTCTGGGGCATCCCAGTTAGAAAGGACATCTCTCAGTGTTTTCTGTAACACTGGTCTTGTTTTTATAAACTCCCTTAGGTTCTGTTTTTCTGAAAATACCTTGATCTCTCCTTCATATTTAGTGGACAATTTTACTGGGTATGATATTCTTAGTTGACAGTTGGGTTTGTTGTGTGTTTAATATATGTCATTCCATTGTCTTTTTGCTCACATGGTTTCTGCTGAGAAATCGACATTTGATCTTATATGCTTTCCCTTATAGATTACTCTTTGTTTCTCCCTAACTGGTTTCAGAATTCTCTCCTAATCTTTGGTTCTGGCAAATTTGACTATGATATGTCTTGGTGTTTTTCTTTTGGGATCTATTCTATGTGGTGTTCTGTTAGCTTCTTGAATAGATATTCTCTCATTCTTCATTATGCCTGCAAAGTTTTCTTCTAATAAGTCTTCCACAACGATTTTGGTGCCTTTAGTTGCTTCTTCCTGTTCTGGGATTCCAATTATGCACATGTTATTTCTCGTGATGGTGTTCCACATCAGGTTTTCTTCTCTTTCCTTCCTTTTTGATTCTGCTTTTTGTTTTGGCAGATTAGTGGTGACAATTCTGTCTTCGATTCCACTGGTTCTTGTGTTCTATATCTTCAGCCCTGTTCATGTGTACCTCCATAATTTTAAAAGCATCTGAAACATTGGACCTCATATTTTGGATATGATTTTTGAATATGTGTCTCCTGTAGACAGCATATTGATGGATTTTGGTTTTTTTAATCCAGTCTGCTACTCTTTTTCTCTTCAGTGGTGCTTTTAAATGATTGACATTCAATGTGATTTTGAGAAGGCAAAGTTTCATTGCTATAATTTTGTTGATTTCTTTTTAGTGTTGTTGCTAGCTAGTTTGGACCATCCTGCTTTCTTTTCTTTTATTTTCTGTTTTTTGGATAGTGGTTTCTTGTTTTTCCAGAGCATCGAATGCCTCATTTGATTTATCTGCATTGTTTTGGATTTTTTTAAATCTTCTCCTGGTTTTTCCTTGCAGTGTCCTGTAATTCTTCAAGTTTGTCTTTCACTGATTGAAAATATTCAATCATTGTTCTTTTAAATTTCTTGTCAGAAAGTTTCATCAGACTTTCTGGCTTTAGGAAATCCATGTATACTGTGTCACTTTTTGGGGTGACATCTTGCTTTGGGCTTGTGTAAGGGGTGAGGTAGCCTGCTTCCTACATGATATTGCTCTTGTAGAGTTTTTCATGCTTGAGGCTATAGTAGGTTCTTGATCTGAAATCACTGCTCCAGAAGAGGGTGGGGAAGATACCCTGCCTGTGTTTCTCTCTGTCTTCTGACTCCAGGGAAGATCTGCTTTTCTTTGGTAGAGAAGAGGCCTTTGAAAGCAACCTCCTGTCTTTGACAACTGCCATATTTAGGGAAGCCCATGGTACTTTGGGCTAAAGGCAGGTGATGGGCTCTAGGCAGTTGATGGACTAAATGTGAGGAGACACAAGGCAGAATGCTGAGACCTGATTATAAAGCCAGTAAACCTTGGTTTTCCCCTTCAAGAATGAACTCCAGTTGTCTTGTTCTGCTCTGATTGAGCTTAAGAGGTCCCACACAATCCAGCCAAACAGCAGTGATCCCCCACAAAATACATCACTCAAATTCCAGCATTGCTCCCAGCAAACATTGCTCCCAGTGCAGGTCAGGTCCCAGCGCACATCAGGTCCCGATGGTGTCTGGAGTACCAGGTGTGGCCTGGTGGCATCAGATGTTCCGGGCATGGGCTGGCCTACCAGAATCCAAGTTTACCAAACTAAGGGCTCCAGTCTTGTGTTATTTTCAAGATTTATTTTTATGGTTCTTTTTTAGCTTATTTGAATGAAAAATATATTAAAAAATGGTTCTTTGTCCAGGTTATTTGAATAAAATACTGTAATGGAAAAATGTCTAAAATATCTTCAAAGATTAATATTATTCAGTGAGTAAAAATGAATTTATCCCAGTACTACATATATTAGAATACCACTCACTCTAAAACATATTTGGTTTTTAATATGCCCAATGTGTTTGCTCTGTTTAATACAGCACCAATATGATAAAATTGTTGAAGAAAGAGACTCAGAATTAGGACTTTATAAAAGCAAAGAACAAGAGCAATCATCAGTGAAAGCTTCTTTGGTGAGATACAGAGCAAGCAGTAGTAAACTTAACTTTATAATGCCAGTATGTCTAGTGGTAAAGAAAAATATCAAGTAAAATTATAATTTTTGAGCTATATGAAATTACAGAGTCTTATATCTGGAAGGAATTTTATCTATCTTCTAGTTAAATGGTTTTCCAGTTTGTTTTTGAAATTACATAAAAGCCTCTTTTTCAAGTAAATTGTTATAAACTCAATTAGTTTGGATTTTGTTGTTGAGAAAGATGTGAAGACTGGGAGTGGCTGGAGAAGATTGTTAAATCTTTCTGATATTATTCAATATTTCTTTAGAGGAAAGCATAAAGAATTTATTTTAATGAACTCCTTAGTTATGGTCAGTTAGTTTTAACACCAGTAGACTTTTAAAGTATATATATTGCACAAGAGAATTAATTTTTATGTGAAGATAAGTTTACTTGGAGCATTAGTTTTGTATTCTTATTGTATTGAGAAATAAATGAAAGCACTTACAAACTTGGTATTTCTTTTTCTTTAGGAAATTGAGCTATCTAACCTAAAAAATGAACTTTCATCCATTAAGAAGGAACTTGAACTAGAAAGAGAAGAAAAAGTAAGTTTCGTAGCTTTATAATTTTTTTTTCTTTTACTGGTTTATTTCCTGTTGGCTTCACCTACCTCTCCTTCCATCCATCAAATTGTGTAACCCTATGATTAACCACTCCAACCCCTCACCATCCTCACCCCTTTGTTTTCCCTCTCCTTCCCTTAGATCTTCATACTTGTTCTATAATATTGGTCTTATGCAGTATTTGTCCTTATGGGAATGATTTAGTTCACTTGGAATAATGCTCACTAGTACCTTCCAAGTTAGGTAATAATTGAAAAAAATCACTGTTCCTGCGTGCTGTATAGTATTCCATTGTATGACTGTACCATAATTTCTCTATCCATTCAACTGTGACTGGACACTTTTGGGCTGTTTCCATGTCCTTGTTGTGGTGAATAACACACTGCTATGTACACTGGTGTATGAGTCTCCATTTGTTTTTCAGTTCTTGTTTTTTGGGGGGTATATTCCAAGCAGTGGCATAGCTGAATCATACGGAATTTCTGTGTTCAGGTTTTTGAGGAAGTGCCAAACTGCCTTCGAGAGTGGTTGTACCATTTACAATCCCAGCAACAATGTATAAGGGTTCTATTTCACTACAACCTCTCCAGCCTTTATTACTTGCTGTCCTGTTAAACTTTGCCACTGCTACTGGTGTAAGATGCTGTCTCATTGTAGTTTTGATTTGCATCTTTCTTATTGCCAGTGTTTTTGAGCATTTCTTCATGTGTCTGTTGGCCATCTGAATATTTTCTTTGAAAATTCCTTCCATGTCTTTTCCCCGTTTTGAAATTGTATTATCAGTCTTTTTCTTTTGGAGGGAGGCCTGTAGGATTCTGCAAACTTTTGACATGAGACCTTTGTCTGAAATGGTATTGCCAAATGTATTTTCCCAGTCAGTAGGTTTTCTTTTTACTCTGTTGGAAAATGTTTTTCTTGTGCAAAGGATTTAAATTTTAGAAGGTCACATTCATCAATTTTGTTTCTCTCCAAATTGTGCTGTATTGGGCATTCTCTTTATACCATAGACTAAGCCATTTAAGCTTGACCCCAGCTTGTCTCTAATGAACTTTATGATTTGGGGCTTTACTCCTAGGTCTCTGATGCATCTTGATTTTTGTGTATGGTGTGAGATGTGGATCCTGTTTGGGCTTTTTGCTGGTTGTAGCCCAATTTTGCAAGTACTATTTGTTGTAGAGGTTATCATTTCCCCATTTGATAGGTTTTATTTTTTTGTTGAATATCAGTTGACCATAGATAACTGAGTCTGTTTCTGGGTTCTGAATTCTGTTCCATTGGTCTGTGTTCCTATTGTTATACCAGCACCATGCTATTTTTGTTACTACCACTGTATAGTAGATTTTTGAGGTCATGAAGTGGCCTCTCAGTTCATTTTTGTTTTTGAGAAGTGCTTTCCTTGTTCGGGTTCTCTTCCCCTCCAAATAAACTTGACAATTTCTTTTTTGATCTCCTTGAAAAATGAATTTGGTAACTGTATTGAGATTGCATTGAACATGTAGATTGCTTTTGGTAGGATAGTCATTTTCACAAAATTGAGTCTTCCTATGCATGAACAGGGTACATTTTTTTCTTTATTTAGGTCTTATTTTATCTCACCAAAAAGTTATGTAGTTTTCTTTGTATGTCTTTTGTATTTCTATTTAGGTTCTGGAAGTCTAGTCATGTGTATGTTATTCTTTTTTATGTCATCCCACATGAGTCTAATGTTTTCTTCATTTTCTTTATGTCTCATCTCTGATTTTTCTTCTAGTATGTTTCCAGTGAGGCTCTTGTATTCCAGCTCACTCACTGATTCTCTGTTCCATCTCTTCAGTTCTATTTTTTTGTCTTACCAGTGTATTTGACACTTCTGCCATTTATGTCTTCATATTCTGTATTGCATTTTCATGTTTTTCTGTTCTTTCCAGTACTGTGTTGGCTGTACCCTCTCTGTCTTGTAATAATTTTTTTTGAGTTCTTGTACCTCTTTATCTTTACTATCAATTCTTTCTTCCATCTTTTCCATTTTCTTGTATAACTGTTCAAGTTGCTCCTCGTCACTATATTTATTTGGTTTGTTGTCGCTGAGGTATTTGTTCTGTTATTGGTTTCCATTATTTCTTCTGTATATCTTTTTCTGTAGTTGTTCAGATAACTCCACATCAACATATTTCTTCTGCTTCTCTCTATCTGGGATATTAATTGGGCCTCCTTTTTCAGGAGGAGGGCTATTTTGTTTTTTTCATGGTAACTTTGGTGGATTACTGTTTTCTTGGCATTAAATGGGTCGGTCTTTTCTTAGTACAGGTTAGGTTGTTGTAACTATATAATGACCCAGAGTACAGCAGTGTTTTGTAAAGGACCTATATATTTGTGCTCCTTTCTGACAACAGTGTATCACACAAAGGACTTGAATGGCAAAAGAAGAAGCTTATTCCATTCTAGAAATGGTGTTTTGGGTTAGACTAGGCCCAGCTCTTCCATTTGAGCTTAAGGGGTCCCTGGTCATGTAGCTAGACAGCAGTGTTTCACCAAAAGTACCTGTAATATTGGTGCTCCTGGTGCTAGATAGCAGGGGGCAACAGCTGGATGGTCTCCAGGTAGTGGGTCTCGAGGTGATGGTAACAGTACTCTGGGAGAGATTGTGGTCTTAAAAACTGCAGCCCCCCAACCTGGCATGCAGTGTTTCTGTTGCTGGGTGTGAGTGTGCTTGGGCAGGGCTGCGGCCTTTAGCTGATGCAGGGGAAGTGGTGGCTGAAGGATGTTCTTGGGCCAGCCATGCCACAAAAGCATTGCTGTGTTGAAGCAGAGGGAAGGTAAGGTCCCCCTGAAAGTAATTAATTTTAGGATTTGGATCCAATTTGGATATTTAGAAATATGTCATATTAGAAAATAATAGGACAATTTTGAGTAACTGAGGAATAAAAATTATAGTTTTCCTCATATTATTTTTTTAATCTTGGAAGTATTTAGCATTTATGGAGGTCTGGTGGTATAAGGCCTACTTATAAGACAACTAATTTAAAGGTCAGTGGTTTGAATTCATCAGCTGCTTTGAGAGAGAAAGATGGGCTCTTTCTTTAAAGTTTATAACTATGGAAAGTTGGCAGAGGAGTGCTTGGAGTTGGAATCCACTTGATGGTAATGGATTAAAGCTTTTATTTTCATTTGTATATGCCTAGTTTAAAAGCTAAAGACACATAAATAAATGGATTTCTATAAATAGAAAGTGAAATATTTGTCATTCCAAACATTTTTAAAAATTCAACTATTAATTTTATTTAAAATTTGTGCTTATTTGCCTTCATTAAACTGATTATATTTTCAAAATTATATGTATCTCTACCACTGGTGGATCTGAACCACCAGAGAAACTCTATCAGAGCTCCCTGCATATTTTTTTTCATAATTGTATTATGTTTAATAAGAATTTTTTGCTATTTATAATTTTTTAATTTTTAAATGCTAGTTTATTTACAAAATTCAAGTATATTGATTTTGAGGGTAGATTCTTCCAATTTCCCCTCACCCCCCACCAATCGAATTGTACAACTCCATGATTAATCCCCCCTACCCCTGCACATCCTCATCCCTCTGCTTCCACCCCCCTTGAATCCTTATACTCATCCCACAATAATGATTTTATACAATATTTGTCCTTGTGACACGGTGATGATTCATTCAGCATAATGTTCTCTAGTCCCTCCCAAGTTAGTTAATAATTTACAGAATCATGTGTGAGAAAGGAACTCATATATTGTTGGTGAGATTGTAAAATGGTATTCAACCTTTCTGAAAGGCAGTTTGGTGCTTCCTTAGAAAGCTGAACATAGAAACAGCTGAACATATGACCCAGATATTTCACTGCTTGGAATATACCTTGAGAAAATGACAATCGAGGCACAAATGGAGATTTGTACACCAATTTTCATAGCAGCATTATTCACCATCGCAAGAACATGAGAACAGTCCAAATGTCCAACCACAAACGAATGGATTGAGAAATTATGGTACATTCACACAGTGGAATACTATGAAGCACCCAGGAGCAATGATTTTATAAATTATTACCCAACCATTTTTATGTTTACAAATTAGTAACATCATTTGTGTTTCCTGTATTGTTCAACCATCACCACTATCCATTTCCAAATTCTTTTCTTCACCCCAATAGGAACTCAGTTCCATATCCATTTTCTCTCTGTTTCAGTCTGAATCCCCTTTACCCCTGCCCCACAGCAGCAGAGTAAATATGTTATTTTAAAACTATTAAGTATGTGGTGTCATTTATTGTGAAACTTTTTGTGTTGGTTTTTATTAATCAATTCAGCTCCTTAGAGTTTTAGCCTAGTTGTGTCTGTTAGTAGTTTGTTATTTTTTATTATTGAGTAGCAATCCATAGTAAGAAAGTACCATAGATCAGTAAAGATTTTGTAAAAATTTTACAGATTTTGAGATAAACCTAAATTTTCACTTATCTGGAATAAATGTCCAAGAGTGCAAATTCTTAGATGAATCATAGTTGTATATTTAGGGTGTGTTTTTTAAAAAAATACAAATAGACTGAGTCAGCTCACTGCCGTAGTATATTTCAAGTCATTGGCCTCCAGTAGGTTTTTGAGATAGTAAATCTCAATCAGAAGAGACTGCTTATCATTCTTCCTTGGAGCCACTGATGGATCCAAACTCCTAGAGATGTATAGACTTTTGACTAGTAGTAAAACATGCTATGAATTATGCCATCAAAGCATGTGATTTGAGTGAGTTTATAAAACATACTGATTTTTCATTCAAACATTGGGCCGCATTTTGTTTTGTAACAGTAAGTACAATACACACAATGTAGTTACACTTCTTCCACTGTTGTTTTTGTCTTGTTCCTTTTAGTTGACTACAACTCATAGTGACTGTATAAATAATTCATCTGAATCATACATTATACTGTGCTGTCCTCATTATCTCATTATCACATTATTACAATCACTGTGTCAATTCATCTTGTT